GGGGGGGGGGGAGAACAGACCATATACAGTATATTGTTGATGTTAAAGATGTACTTCTGTGCTCTGCCAAACCAACCATTTGGAGAAGATGCTACAATCCACTATATAATAGTATTTTAATTGTATTTTAATTTTTGTAAGCCATCCAGAGACTTCTGGGTAGAATGGGTGGCATATAAGTTAAATAAATAAATAAATAACAAACAAACAAACAAACAAACACTATAAGGTGCAGTATCATTTAGCACCAGAATTTCAACACCTTAATTTCAGTCAAAAGAATGGGTCAGCAATATGTGACCTGTAGATTGCATATGGCCCTAACAAGACTCCAAATGCACCTCAGCAACTCAGAGACAGCTCTGCCCCTCCATCCCTCCACATCTTTTGTTATAAAAATGATTTGAATTTTCTTGGTGCATGGAAGGAATTCTGCCATGTTCTGAGGGCCCCAGCAGCAGCCCTGGGCTCACTCTATACCCCAATATTTTAAAATTGACCACTAGAAGGCACAACTGAGCTTTTAAAATGTTGGGGTGGAGGTTTGGGGGCCCTCTCCATGTTAGAGAAATGGCTATCTGTGCTCTTGGACCTCTGAAAGTTACAAATCTCTGGTCTAAAGGCACACTGAATCCTAGCCATGTTCTCAGATAATTCCAGTAAAATATGTTACATCTGAGAATACATCCTGACTTCTACGTCTCGCAATCCATAACACTAAGGACTGGAGTGCCAGAAAAGACAAATGGGGATGCACAGATGGGAAACTAGAATGAGGATTTACTCTTTCATGTAAATACGTTTGCTTTGTAGTTTCATGGGATACACTGAATCCTAGCCATGTTCTCAGATAATTCCAGTAAAATATGTTACATCTGAGAATACATCCTGACTTCTACGTCTCGCAATCCATAACACTAAGGACTGGAGTGCCAGAAAAGACAAATGGGGATGCACAGATGGGAAACTAGAATGAGGATTTACTCTTTCATGTAAATACGTTTGCTTTGTAGTTTCATGGGATTTCTTCCTCTCTCTCCCCCCCCCCGCGCACGTTTTATTATCTCTATCCTCTCTCTCTCTCTCTCTCTTTCTCTCTCTCTCTCTCCCTCCCTCCCTCCCTCTCCCTCTCTCTCTCTCTCTCTCTGTGTGTGTTAATAAAAGGGCTTTTAAGATAAGTGAATGATTTGTGCAGTAACATTAACAGTACCATCCCCCACCACAAGAAGTTTCCATGACTGAGTGGGAATTCAAATTCAGGTCCCCTGAGTCCTAGTTCATCACTATCTAATTAAAAAAAAAATACTGAGCAACAATATTGAAATTCTATAACTAGCAGATGCTGTACAGTTACATAGATGGAAGATTTTATCTTTTTGATCTACAGCTCCCAGAATAACCCAGCCAGCGGAGTTGCTTTCCATGCTGGCTAAGTATTCTGGGAATTGTAGACTCAGAAATAACTTTTCCCATCTCTGGATGGGTGGTGCTGGAGGACAGTACACAGTGGTAGAGCACACACACTGTATATGCAAAAGGCCTTGTATCCAGCTGCTTGAATCTCCAGATGAAATTGTGTAGAATTTGCAAGTGTTGGGAAATTTCTTTGTCCCAGACCCAAAAGCAGCCTTCATCCTGTCCAGGACATCTTTCCCATATGCAGAACTGGAATTCCTACCATCTTCAGCCAGCAAGGTCACTGTCACATCTGGAGGGCAACAGATTGGGAAAAGACTGCCCTTGGCCAGTCACAGCAGACAATCCTGAGCCAGACATACCAACACTCTGATCAGATTTAAGGCCACTTCTTTGGATTTCCTCTGGGAGTATACACTCATCATACCCAGTATTCACTGATAGCTTTATCCACCATGCATATGTCCAATCTGCTTCTACAGCTCTATAACATGGTAACCACAACAGGGAGTTTCAAGCTTTGACTGTGCATTGGATGAAGAAGAGATCCACCAGGAGCTTTTCCACACTTGAAGCTTCACAGAGTATTCCAGATGCTTGTGTATTCAGAAGTCAATCCAATCCAATTCATTGCGGTTTCTTCTAGAGTGGTGGTTCCCAAATTTGGGTCCCCATATGTTTATGTACTAAAAAACCAAGAAGCCTTCACCACTAGCGGTGCTGGTAAGAATTTCTGGGAGATGTAGTCCCAAAACATTTGGGGATCCAAAGTTGAGAATCACTGTTCTCAACCATGAGTTACAACACTATAAACTGAGAAACATGTATTTGTAGTACACACACACTGTATATGCATGTTACATTCACAACCCAGATTCCTTTCAATGTCTTCTGCCCTCTAGTACATTAAAAGGGAGGACATACAAGTGGGCCAAGCCTTTTGGTCATTCAGCTGAGCTCAAAAACTTCTTCAGCTCCCAGAATCCCGCTACAGTTGATTGGGGGATTCTGGGAAGCAGAGTTCAGAAGAGTAACTTGTCCAAACTTTGTCCTCTTGGGAAGACCAAGCCAAGGGCCCATCTCAGCCCCGAACAGGCCGACTAGGACAATGGTTCTTAACGTTTGTTACTCAGATGCTTTTGAACTGCAACTCCCAGAAACCCCAGTCAGCACAGCAGGTGGTGAAGGCTTCTGGGAGTTGCAGTCCAAAACTCCTGAGTAACCCAAGGTTAAGAACCAGTGGACTAGGAGGTACCCTTGCCAATCCATGCAGAGGCTTTCCCCATCCAGCTGTTTGGAGGAGGATGCCTTCAATCGGATTCAATCCAATTTTTGTCCCCTGCTTAGACAGAAGAGGGACTCAGCTGTAAGTGGCAGCTCTCCAGGCTGTGGTTGTGGGTATTAAGGGATGTGGAGATTTGGTTGCTGAGGGTGGGTTGGGGGGAGGGTGGTGCTACTACTTTATTTACCAGTCAAAGGCCCCGCCGTGAACAAGAACGGGTGCTGTCCAAATAAACAGCAACATTGTGCATATTTTATACACTGAAAGGAGACGTTTACATTCAGTTGCGGCCTCTGTTTATAAAACAGTGAAAATGATAGTGAAAACATCCCTCTGCAAAAACAAGCGGAGTGAAAATTCAGAGGAGAGGTGCCTGATGCTTGTTTCCCTGGGAAGGGCCTCACCGGCACCTTTTCATTTCTTCTGAGCAGCCATTCAAGAGGTAAAGCTTTCCTTTTCAGCTCATCTCACATCACACAACCATAGCAAGAATTTTTGTTTATTATTTATTTGATTTGTTCAATTCATATCCCACTCCCATTAGTGTCACAGTACTACTCTGGGCGGGTTACAACTTGTAAAACAGAAAACAAAAATAGATATTAAAGCCAACAGCAATACCCCTTTAAAAACAAGACAGAATGAATATATTAATAACAGCAATAACAGTATTGTCAACAACCATCCTGAGAAGCCAGTCTCTGGACACTGGAGGGTTGGTGAAGAATGTCTGCTTCCAGGCAGGTTTATTCAGGATCAAGCTCCACCTGGTTCTGCAGAACTTACTCCCGAGAAAGGGCATCAGATCCCCAGAAAAAGGGGTAAATCTGCAAACCTAGTCACAGTTACTTTGGAGTAAGTCCCACTGCATCTGATGGGACATCCTCCATCATAAACAGTGCCTAGTTCTGGGCTCCATGTGCACTGGCTGAGACATCAGTGGACCTTGGCCATGGAAAAATGGCACAGAGACGAGAGAAGGTTCTCAGACGGATGGTCCAAATTGTGCATCTTTTGCCGGGAAATGTTTCTTGGGAAGCATAGCTCCATGGCCCCAAAAAATTCACCTTCCAGCAAATACTGACTGATAATTCAACTCTAAGGCTGTGATCCTATGCCCGCTTACCAGGGAATAAGCATCACTGAACTCAATGGGACTTGCTTCTGAATAGACATGCCTAGGTTGGCAGAGAAAGTCTGGCAGATCCATGTCCGGAGTGGGCCAGCTGCTCAGTGATTTTGGGTGAGGCTCAATGATCTGGTGTCCCTTCCCAGCTCTAAATAGGTGTTTATAGAAGGCAGGATCAGTCGTAAATTTATTACTGCTTTAGCCAAAAGTTTGCGCATTTTTTGTTGAATGCTGGTTGGTCTTGATAAAAGAATAAGCCAAAGGTGGATTTGATTTTTACCCAAGTATCAACACAGTTTGACTTCCCACCCATTTCCCCAGACGGTGGTTGCTGGGAGCTAAGCTAAGGAGCAAGAGAGCATTCAGTGTCTCTACGTTCAACCCACCTCACCAAGGTTACCGAGGGCGTTTGGGTCCTTGCTACAGAAATGAACTTTCACCAAATTTCTTGGAATGAGAACTGGGAGAAGGTGCAGTTTGGGCTGCGCCTCCCAGAATCCCCCAGTCAGGGTGCTGAATTCTGTGAGGTGTCACCCAAGGAAGTAAATTTTGGAGGCTCTCCTTTCAAGTGCGTTATTTTTCTAAAGTCCAGCTTGATCTCAGTCATTCTAGATAAAAACCTGTCCAACGAGGGCTTCAGGTTGAGGCAAGGCAATACAAACACCGAGCAATACAAATTCTGTAAATGTCAGGTATCTATTTCATAAGAAAATCCCACCCTTGCGGGGGGGGCGGTGGCGTGGGTGGAGATGCTGCTTCTCTCCTGGGCTGCTTTTCTTTCCCGGGGCTGCTCGGTCTATTAGGGTCGGGGGAGTGGAAGGAAGCAAGAAGGAAAGACGAATGTGATTGAAGTGTGAAAACAGACAGGAATGGCTTCCAAAGGTGGGAATAATTAGCCCGGCCCGGATGGCTTTTAAAACAAAATAAAATTACGGAAGCCAAACGTGCAGCCCCCCTTCCAGAGCTCTGCATTATCCGGGGCTTATCTTAATCCACTGCAGATGGGCTTTTCTCCTCCACTGGACGAACCTCCGGGACAGAAACACACAAAAAGGAGGGCCGGGAGTGGCACTCCGTTGCCCAAACCACACGGAAGTCCCCGGAAAGGCCCCCTCATCTTTGCTCAGGCCTGGTGTCTGTTTTCTAGAGTAGGCCCACTGAATCAATGAAACTTACCGAGGAACCGATTCAATGTGGGGAATTTATTGGCATAGCATTACCCAAAATTTGGTGAAAAAGTGCCGAGGTAGGGATGGCAGCGAGCGCGTACATTTCTTGACCAACTACTCCCAGAATCCCCAGCCCGTTTTAGCCATGGACTGTGCTGGTTGAGGATTGTGGGGGTTGTTGTCCAAGAAATTGGGTTTTCTAAACTTCCTTTGTGTGTGTGTGTGTGTGTGTGTGTGTGTGTGTGTGTCTGTGTGTGTGTGTGTGTGTGTGTGTGTGTGTGTGTGTTCTCTTCGCGCTGTTTGCTTCTCTTCCCCATCTCATGTTGTTTGCTTGCCTGCTTTTAATAAAATGGTGGTTGGGGGAAAAGTTTTAACCCCAGTCCCTGTCCCCAACGCGAGCCCCAGCCTTCCTGGCAAGATGACCGTCGCCCCCATTTCTTAATTCCAGGCGGAGCGAGAAAAGAAGCCATTTCTTGCCAAGACGTCCTTAGTCTACTCAGTAAATAGGAGTAGGAAGAAAATCAAGGAAGACCAGATTTTTTGTAGCCCCTAAACGGCAGGAACCTCTGGTTCTCTCGCCTCACAGTCATTCCCTTCAGAAGAGCTTTAAGCGTTCTAGCTTTTTAATTATTTCTACCAGCAGATCTGCTTGCAAGAGGCTACCATATGTAGCCATTTTGCCCAAAGCAGACGGATACATTCTGAGAGGGAAAGCAGACGTGTGTGGATTTTTTTGTCTTTTAAACACGCTAACTAGTTTCATTCATTCATTCATTCATACATACATAGATACATACATACATACATACATACATACATACATACATACATACATACATACATACATACATACATACATACATACATACATACACCGCTATTGCGGGTGACTGTGGGGGCACAGGCACAAAGCAGAATTGACGAGGGCCTAACAAAAATAATAGCCTTTCCTTTCCCGCTGCTTCCCGTTGGCGACACGAAAAAATAAAGGAGGAAGAGGAATGGAACAGGAGGAGCAAAGTTTATAGGAGGGTAGTTTCCGAGTGTCAAAGCCTGTGTTTCACCTTAAAGTTTAGAACCCCAACCTAAGTTTTATTTCCCTAGTTGGTGACATCGCTACGGGTGGAAAGGACTTTTCTGGGTGGCATCGGTTTTAAACCGGACAATACAGGCAAGCAAACCTCCACACCATAAACACCGCACTTCGGAGAAGTACTACTCATCGCCGTTGAAATCAATGGGGCGCCTCTCCAGTTTTTGGATTTGCGCAGCAAGGGTGGTCTCGGGAATTTTTCCACCGACTCAAAGTTGCGCACTAATACGATTACCATAGTTTCCCCGCACAGCTCACGCTTCCGCAACACAGGGTATCTTTCTGTATACATTAAAATAATACATATATGTAGATTTCCAAGGAGCAGTGGTCTTAAAAAGCAGAGACATCACCTTGCCGACAAAGGTCCGCACAGTCAAAGCTATGGTTTTTCCTGTCGTGATGTATGGAAGTGAGAGCTGGACCATAAAGAAGGCTGACCGCCGAAGAACTGATGCTTTTGAATTGTGGTGCTGGAGGAGGCTCTTGAGAGTCCCCTGAACTGCAAGGAGAACAAACCTATCAGTTCTAAAGAAAATCAACCCTGAGTGCTCATTGGAAGGACAGAACCTGAAGCTGAGGCTCCAATACTTTGGCCTCTCATGAGAAGAGAAGACTCCCTGGGAAAGGCCCTGATGCTGGGAAAGTGTGAAGACAAGAGGAGAAGGGGACGACAGAGGACGAGATGGTTGGACAGGGTCATTAAAGCTCCCAACATGAATTTGACCCAACTCCGGGCTGCAGTAGAAAGCAGGAGGGCCTGGCGTGCTCTGGTCCATGGGGTCACGAGTCGGAGACGACTGAACGACTA